AAAAAAAAAGGGTGGGAGGTAAATTTCCTTGCCTTTTATTTTGTAAACTAAAATTATCAAATAAATATTTAAATTTTCACTTCAGAAATTCTCAGGATTTGTGCTCAAAGAAAATTTTCAAAATGTTTTAAGAAGTTTGGTCTAGTTTTATTCAATATAATGCTCATTATGCAAGGAGAGATTTTTTTTTTTCCCCCCCTATCTTTGATAATTTATTGCAGAACTCCTGGGAGTAGGCTGCCATGTACTATCCTTTGTTCAAAGGTAGTCTAGTCTTAAAAAAAAAAAAAAAAAAAAAAAATCAAATCACAACATAACATTTGGATGGGCAAACAGTTAACATATTTTTATTCAAAATGTAATCATAGAAAGGATAGGGAGTTTTTTTTGTTTTTTTAAACCAAGTCAGATGATTCAACTCATATTTGAAATTTGAGTTATATAATACTGATATGACTCAAAACCAGCAAATTTTATAAATTTTTCTTCAGTTCTTGTAGGAAACTGAAAGTTAATTTAAATGCCAAAAGTATTTACAAATTCTGTTTTTTCTTGGAAAGCAAAATTCCCCAAGTCATGAGATTGGATACAAGAAGTTTTAACCCAACAAAAAATGCTAACAATGAATATAGTTATACCAGTTGATAATATTCGACAGTATCCATTACTGATCACCTAACTTCTCATGATATTTCACAAATATATATATATATATATATATATATATATATATATATATATATATATATATATTAGTTTAACAGTGCACTTCCCACAGACAAAAATCACTGAAAAGAAAAATTTCACTTGTTCCAAATAAACCTACAGTACACATAATAGTAAAAATAAAACTTTCTGCAAATTAGCCTTCAAACTAATTTCAAGATGTGTCCATTTGTTTTTAGAGTTACAGATACAGAAAAAATAATTATGTCCAATCAGATTTTAAAAACGCACAGAATAATACCGTTAGCTTTTGAAAGGTATAAATTGCCACAAAAATCATGTTACTACTACCCTCATTGATTCAGTGATATAGTTCAGCTATATCAAAATACTGGTTCTTTCTACAACCATAATTATAAAAAAAAAAAAAAAAAAAAAAAATTGGTCTAATCAAGTCCAAATGACTAGTCATTTGGAAATTTATAATGCTGTAAATACAGACTTTAAAATTAGACCAGAACCTTGTCTGTGAACCAGTCAAATAAATTTAATTCGATAAAAACTCTTGTTAAGCAGTCTGAACAAACACTAAAACTGGATGTTAGGCCTTATGATCTTTAATTCAATACTATGACCACTGAGATAGCCCTCTGTACTAATGGTATATTGTATTTTTACCTCCAAAACCTATAATAGAAGAGCTTTTATGCATCAGACCAGAAAATTATAAACTTTCCTGAAAGAGAGTGATCAAGACACACAAAAATTTAGATAAAATCGACACACCTGTAGCAGGCCAGAGAGATTACACGGAGTTATTTGGTCAGAATATAGAGACATTACTCCAATAGGGTCGTCAGTAATTTGACTGTACTTCTAAATAGGAGCAACATTATCAAAACATAAATAGTATGTAAATGTCTATTTGTCAGCATCATAAATTTAAAAAACAGTTAAATGATAGAAACATGAAATATAGATGAGAATATAGATGAGAAGATTTAAGAGAATCGACAAATTTTTTCATCTTAAATTAAAACTGGAATCATATAGGGTTTAAAATAAAGGTTTTTAATCACTCATCAATATTAGCAGAAATACTTTTTCTTTTGCCTTTTTTTAAAATCATTCCATCCTAAGAAAGGCAATAAAGCCACTAAGACGCAAGAGGTTACTGAGTGTGAGAGAATATGAAAAAAATGAAAACATTAAGGAGAAAACAATAAAAGGATTGACATTGTATTTAAGGGCCAACCATTCTGTTTGGCATTCTTTGAACCATTAAAATTAAATTAAAATTTTATTGCCAATGGCATATTTTCATTTCTTCACATAGTTGACAAATAAATTTAAACAGGTCTTACCAAAATCACCCAGCCTGTTAAATATGAAGCCTATATAAGATGAAGTAAAATATGTCCAAGAAAAAAGAACTTCGAAGAAGCTATATCTTGGGTTATCTTAAACATTGCATATTATTCGTAATTAATGTTATCTGTCAACTTTTAAGTAAAAATCATATGAATAGGGACACAACATCAACGTTCATCTTATTAAGAAGTAGAAAACAAAGTGGCACAAGCCCAAATGTCCAAATATATCTATAACTGATTTTGACCAACACAAAACAAATTTAATTAACTTAGATTTTAGAATTTATTCATCTCAGATGACCAAAACAAATAATTTGCCTGCACTAATGTGAAGGGTGATACTGAGTTTTGAACTGCAGCATGTAGGCCAAGTCTGGTTCAAAGTCATTGGTTTTAGAAATTGGCTGGAAAAGGCCAGGGTTACACCACCAGAGGGTAGCCACACAGTACTGCTACAATCTTTTAGTAAAACATGAAATTGCATTTGTTAGGTGAGTACTTTACATACTCTGACAATACTGGTGGGCTGTAAGTGATAAATTCTTTGACAGAGGATGGGAGCCATATGAAATTTGATTGTGGGCCATAATTGGATTCATTTTTAACCTGCTTTATAAGAAAAGATTAGTGTATCTTAGTTGGTTAGCTGTCTTTTTGAAATATCAGTGCTTGTTGGGTTATTTAATATCAAAATTTAAAAAACATTTGAGACAATATGGAACATCTGTTTAGGGATAGGTAATATTCATCTACATAAGTATTTACTTTATGAGTGGCCACTTCTGGGAGAATCCTATTTTCTCTTTAGGAGATGCAGATGGTACATTACTGGCCCCAACAACATAATACTTGCTTTGAGAATAGGTAAATACCAGTTGTCCACATTTAAGTCTGTAAGCATTTACTTGACAGGTTGGTCGATTTAATTTAGTGGTATATCAACCTCTAGGAGTTATTTAATACTGAAATCTAAATATTTTGAACAATTTTATGACTTCAACTAAATATATTTTTAACGAAATTGTATGCTTTCAACTACAGATTAAATGTATTGTTGGTAATTTTACTATAAATATGTATTGTTGGTAATCTCTTTGACCCTGACAGGATCTACCACTCCAGATCAGGGTGAACCTGTACTTGATAAATGGCCTCTTCTGGGGGTTGGGAAAAATATGCAGTCAGTATATCCTTAGCTCCTGCTAAGTAGTGTTTGTCTTTGTTAAACAAAAACATGAGAAATAAATTCAAGCAAGCAAAAAGATACACGGCTCAATGAGAAATGTACAGAGATAGAAAAACTTACTAAATGTACACATAGCAGGTATGTTTAAAATGATAAATGAAATGCTGTTAAACAGGATGCATAAAAAAAGGACAAGATATGACAATGATGGAATGAATGCATCAGTAACAGAGTTGAGAAACACAAAAACATAGAATGACTTGTGATATTAACACCAACCAAGCTGAAAAGGAACAAAGCAGACGTATCAGATAAGATTTTAATAATAGAGATGCTGTCAATCAAAGGTGATTTCCAGATTTATAAGATCATTGAAATGATAAATGTAATACCAGAGGACCTCAGTAGATCAATCTTTATAGTACTGCCAAAGAAACAACATGCAAATGGACGCAAACTATCAGACAGTTTGGTGATTCACATAACTAATCATTAGGATTAGAGTTCATAGCAGAATTAGAGAGAAGAGACATTCTACTAATCTGTGTTGAGTAAGCAGGTATTTTTTAAGTGGAACTGACAAAATTCACAACAACAATAATAATAAAAACAGAGCAAAATAATACAAGAAATGAATAATGTAATACAAAAGTAAAGCAAGGCAGGTATAAGACAATAGCAAAGTAAATCAATTATAAGACAGTCAAATGGGATACAGTCATGTAGTTATCAACTTCAAGGCAAGAAAGAAAAAAATATGGAGGTAAGATAAAGAATTGTTCATTTTTATTGACTAAGAAATCCTATTATGTACCTGTAGCATTTGTCTATAAATTTGGGGAGAGGGAATTTTTAGCAGACATTCCCATAGGTTGGAACAACAATCTGTAACTTCTACTGGAAAGTTTGTATTATTGAATACATAAACATAAAAAGAAGTACAATAAGGATGCATTTTTTCATTGTATTAAACTTGCACTGTGAGACAAACCAAAGAGAATCAGAAGACCAATCACAATTTATTACCAGCAGACCATAACCATTTTATTACACAGATGGTACCATGTTGATGGCAGACTTTGAAAGAACCATTAAACAAAGTAGCTAAGGAGAGCAAGAAGAAAGGACTAATTATTAACTGTAAGAAGAGAGAATGCATGGTTGTCAACAAGAGAAAGACTGCACTGCAAGCTATATATTAGGAATGTTAAAATCCAAAAGGTGCAGAAATTTAATCATGTAGGAAATGTCATAACAGACAAAAGAAAATGTGACACTGAAACACAAAGGCACATAGGAATAGTGAAAGATGCCTTTCAAGAAACTAAGCAAAATATTAAGGACTAGAAAAATTAGAAAAAAAAAAAAAAAATACTGAACTGCTTCTATGTAATATATAATTTCCTATATGGCAGTGAATGCTGGACCATCTCCTCATGCCTGCCAGAAACTAAGCTAAGTATTAAGAGAGAGAGAGGAAAATATGCAAGTTGCTACTGCATTAACAATTTTTTGGAAACAATAACTTTTCAAAATACAAGTCCTACTATTTAACTTATACCTTGTGGGGTAGGAGAGACAGAGTTATGTCTTTCCCAATGGTATTTGAATGTACGTGAATGTAACAGTTTTAATGAGAATAGGTAGATCAAGGCAAAAAGCAATAGGAAATTAAATGAGCAAGAGTAAAAAAAAAAAAAAAAACAGTTGTGAGGAGCCATGATTGTTCATGTCTTCAAAAGATATGACATATGAAAAAGAAGTGTTTCTCTTACCTGTGAACATGATAGGAATATATCACATTCTGTTGGGTGATACTGTGCTGACCATACAATGTTGGAATGAGCTGAAGAGGGAAAATAAATGAGTTAAAAAATTTTAAATGCTTTTTTTCTTTTTTTAATACTTTAATTTTTGCTCAGAATAGAAAGAAAGAAAGAAAGAAAGAAAAAAGATCATGGTATGTAAATCTCTCAAACACAGAAAGACCCAACACACACAGCATTAAAATCCTAGTATTGTACTGGCAAATCTTTGACATGGGTAGGAAGTATGTAATTATACCAACCCCCACATTTTTTTTTTTTTTTTTATATTAATGGCTATTTAATATATTGGTTAATATTAAGTGAAATAAATAGTCTATAACCATCATTGATTAAAATGTAAAATAAATTATTACAAAGCCAAGTAAATGGGAAAAATATATTTTTACATTTTGGGAAGAATTTATTGTTGAAAGCCTAAAACTACATTTAAAACAAGAGGCAAGATTTATTAAAAAAAAAAAAAAAAGCTAGAAAGTGAAGCCCACATTTTCAGAAATTAAACTGTTAAAGAGGTACTTCCACTTATTCAGTATACATAAGGTTTAAAAGGATTTTTTTTAAAATGAAAAAGCTTTCATTTTAGCTTTAATTGAAAGCTAAAGTATTTAAAAAATTTACTATTTCCAGTCAGCAAAATACCGCAATTCAAAATTTATTTTTTTCAATAAAATCAATCAAAACGGCGATAGACAAAAGTTAATTCTCAGTTTTAAAATCTTGCCAAAATAAAATATATATTTATATATATATATATATATATATATATATATATATATATATATATATATATATATATATATATATGACATATTTCTCTTATTTGAGAAAAATTAGCACATTTAAAGTTAAATTAATCTAATTTGAAACAAAAATTACTTACTTATAGCATAAAATGTTGAATACAAACATTTTTCCTATTGCTGCTTTTTTTTGTTTTTCTTACATGTTAATCGATTTATTGAGAGTAGATTGATATCTGAGCATGTTCATGGTTAAGTATGGAGCAGATGATAAAGTTTATAGTGGGTGGATTTTTGGTAAGACCAAGTCCACTATTTCAAGAAATAATTCAAAGATTTAAATTCTTCAAAGAATTCAACTTTTAACTAATATAATCACTAAAATTATCATTTGAATTTCACAATTTTTCATAAAATTAAATAAGGGGCTGAAAGACAAAACAAATTTAAAAATTTTTATTTAAAAAATAATTTCATTCATTTGAGTAGTCCTGAAAATTTCATTAAAATCCAACAATTATTTGATTTTTGCAAGAATTTCCTAATTAACGTATCTGTCACCACAAAAAAGAGCCAAAAATTTTCTATGCTAAAAGATAGTGCAAATTCTGACACAAGAAAAACAAGTTTTAATCAAATTTTCCAATGTTCTAAAAGAAAAAAAAGGAAAAAAAAAATAAATAAATAATAATTAAATATTAAAAAAATACTTTGATCCTTCCTCTTAATAACGATTTTAATGATAAAACTGTTTTCATTACATTTGGAACAGGTTTTCATCACGGTATGCCAATTTTTTTAGCGTCTTCATGGAGGTACCTACAGTTAAATAATTACTAATAAAGTTAAATTAATACTTAAATATAGCTACAGGTACTAAAAAAAAAAAAAAAAAAAAAAAAAACAATTACAGGTAAAACACTAATTTTTTTTTTTTTTTTTTCCTCAGGAAATTATAAACTTCATAGATGTATGCAGATACAGATCTTATCAGCAACATGGCAAACATTCATATACTGAAATTACTAGGAGAAAATAAAATTTTAAATCAACTATCATGCTTAAAATGTTTGTAACTTAAAGTAATTTTTAAATCAATCTATCATAGCCAAAGATTTTAATGATAAATATATATACCTCTCTAAATAATTTTGTAATACTTATAACATATATCCAAACAATGTTTAAAGTAGAAAATATAGCATTAAAATAAAAATAGAAATAAAAAAAAAATCTTAATTTACAAAAGTTATGATTATTGAATATATTTAATAAAAAACTGATATTGAATAAAGACAAAAGTAGAATTCCATCATATCCTCGTAACGACTACAAACTATAAGATAACTATTTAGAACAAGAAAATGCAATCGAAACCAATTATATCAGTTATTCCTCTTGCAAACATATTCGTCTATCTCATCAGGCATGCACTTCCTTTACATGTTCAAAAGAGTCAATGCTACAAAGACACTTTCCAACTGCCACACCCAGTGTCCATTATTTGTTTTACATTGCTTTTCCTATCTTAATTGACACACATCTATTTTTGTCTTTCATGTAAGGTATGTTTTGTTAAATCCTTTCCACTAAAATTGATTTTCCTGCCTGATATTCACATCTATTTCCATAAACAAACCATTATTTCCAGTAGATGATTCATTCAAAGTCACTTTCATGAAAATCTGATCCAGAGATAAAAGCATTTCTGCCAAGCAGATTATGCAGTTACCATGGAGACATTTTGTTAAATTTTTTGTTTAAAATTATTTTTTAATAATAAACACTAAGTTATGTCCCCTATGTTTCTACCAATAGCCTCATATTCTAAGCTCTCCTTTGTCCAAAATAAAAAAATAGCATATATATTTCAACTATTTTTCCTTAAATAAAAGCAGATATTCAGTATTTGACTAAGTTTCAGAATTTAAAAAAAAATATATTTGTATTTTAAAAAAAAGGTAATGCATCTGAAGATTAAAAAATAAAATAAAATGCAATCCCAACTAGTTTTCTCCATAAGTAAAAAACTGAAATTTAACCTAAAGAAAAATGTGCACATTTTATTTCAAATGTATTAATTTTAAAATCCAAAATAGGATCAGAATATGAGGCTAATTATAAAAATATAATTACCCTCATAAATTACCAATTTCTGTAAAATAGTTTGTTATGCAAAAATTAATTAGAAATGTTAGACTATCTAGCATTTCCCATTTACATTGTAATCACAGATCAAGATTTTATTGAAATTAAAAGATTATAGAAAATTTTCTGCTTACCAGCAGGTTATCACACATGAATCAATTTCTTTTTGTATTTTCATTTTTATACAAACTAACACTTGCTGGGTGCAAATTTATGATCCTGATCACTAAATATATCACAACATGCTGTGTATCTTTCTGTGGTAACCTCAGTGTAAAGAATTCTTGGATGCAGCACCAGATGTAACCCTATAACCGGAAATTTCAACTAGTAATCCCAATCACTAATCTGGCAATGTCCTGGTGAAGAAAATCATTCACCCATTTTGTGCTTAGATAAGATTTGCTGAAGTCCTGAACTCCAGGTTATCATGTTGAAAAATCTCCAATATTGAGTCATGCCTTAGAATAAGGATTAAAAAAAAAAAATAAAAATCTAGAATACCATAAGATTTTAACAAGGCAGTTTATTTGTCATTTGCAAAAGGTGTTTAAATCTAGTGACTTACTTTCTCCAATTCTAATGTTTAATAGCAATAAACTATAATTTGAACTCAAAATTGCTTGCTTACAACTATGACTGGGATAGATCAACTGTTGCACATGGCTGTTTGATTGTTTTTATTCTTTTCAAAGGTTGGGATGGTAATCTGGCAGTCTATTCATTTATAGCTGCTGCTATAATCTGCTCACCCGATTTCTCTGGCAAAGTTGTTTTCCCACCCACCCACATTTTGCACCCCGCTGCTAATATCAACCAGTGTCTCACTGACTGCTGCTAGGTTCGGCAGAACTGACCAAAGTGCACCATGCATTTTGATATAAGGAATTTAGCCTACTGGCTGTCAGCAATGATGCACAGGAAATAATTAACCATTAATTTATATACTGTAAAGGTTTTCTTTGCTCAGAAAGCATATGCACAGCCTGACAAGATTCTGAAAACTATTCTTCGTATAAAGTCACTGGCTCAACTTAAAAACCCACACAAATCCAATGGATAGGTTTTTATATAAACAATTTAATCAAGAGTTTTGGGGGATAATTTTTCGACTGGTGAAGTAATTTATTACCTGTCATCATTTTCACCTGACTTGATGAGTGTAGCAGGTACAGGGCCAGACCCAATCAAACTAAGTTATCTAAAATTTAATATTCAAGTTCATTTCCTTAGGAACCAAACAATCCATTTAATTTCTCCAAACTTAATTTCTTAATTACTCCCCACCACCACCACCACCACATTTAATTCCAGTAATCATTAAATGCAATCAAGCCTTCATCCACCCACCCCTACACACTTACTTGCATACCATAAAATCTGGCCTTTCTATATTTAACTGTTCATCAACCTCAGTCCAACCATCTTAGGGATTTATCAACCTGTACATATTAGTCTACACTTGCCTCATTACACAAAGAGCATCACCGAAACTAGCAATAAATGAATGTCAAATGAACAAGACCATCCTTTCTTTGCCTCTACAAAGTGACAAAAAGAAACAAAATCTATGCACACATTTTCATACAATACGGTTACTTAATTTTAAGTTTAAAATAATCTTGAAGTCATAGAAAATTTATTCATGTAATGATCCAATTTCTGCATGTCTTTCATATAACAAAACAAAAGATAGCACATCATAGTACAGAAGGTTACATTGGGCCTGATGTACGGCATTTCGTGGTTATGGTGCCATCTCCCATCACACAGCACTATATGAGGAAGATGGCGGTGTTTCTTCACCAGCTGTACACCATATTGAATTGTATTACATTCACTCTCATTTCTGGTGTTTCTTTGTTTTTTTCCAGATGTTGGAAATGAGCCAGTAACTAAAGTTAAGGGATCCAAATGATTTCTCTAATAAATTTTCAAAAGCAATTACTCACATAAGTTCATGTTGAAACATAACCCATTTTACTTTTAAGATGACAAAATGCCTAAGTATTTGGGGGGAACCAAATAATTTAATTTTTTTTTTTTTTTTTTTTTAATTTATATGGAATTAAGATAATTGACTGATCTTAGGCAAAAGTTTTCTAGAGGGTTTTACTGGTAATCTGAGA